GGGGGGGGGGGGGGGGGGGGGGGGGGGGGGGGGGGGGGGGGGGCGATTCGCGTTGCACTTCTCGGCTCGGGTTGCACAATGCGACGATCGCTGCGACGAGCCGAGTCGGTGTGACATCGCGAAACGTTCCTCGGCCTCGAATCAATTATCGATCCAGCGGTAAAGAAAACACATGGCCAAACGCAAGGCCACCGCCGGTGGAGAGTGCAGTCCACCGCATTGCCGCAGTTGTCCGACCCGCTGCGCGCCAGTCGAAATTTCTGAAACGTGGGGCCGTTCTCGTCGAATAGGTCTATACCACAGACTAGAACATACTGCCAGACTACGGAGACTTTCTTTATCTCGTAATTATGTCGCGCGATTGAGACAACCCGCGCACTCGGGTTCGAATTACGATCGAGATAACGCGGCCTATCGAATCGCGTTTCGATAACTTTAAGTACTTTCGAGAGCAGCGATAGAATCTTCCGTTAGCTTTCGAGTGCTCGAACGGAAAACTCCAGGATCGAACTGCTTGCGAAGGATTCGGTGAAACACGAAAGCGTTCGATCGCGCCGCCGCCGCGCGGCGCAAATAAATTATTAACGGACGCGCATCGATCGCGCCCTTATAATAAAATAGGATGCGACACGAGGAACGCGTCGGATTCACGCCGGCGGGGATATCGGTATAAATACTTGCTCGATTTTGATCGCGCTTTTCCGCTATTACGTTTACGTTGGACACGTGCCTAAAGGCGCCACTTGATCGCCGGGCTCCTCCCGATCCTCCTCGCGGCCGGCAGATTTTATGTTCCAATTTCGCTCGTTCGGTCGTTCCCACTATCGGGCCGCGCGCGAGACGACCGATGCGGACACTTCCGGCGCGGCGGCCCATTTCTCGCCCCCTTTTTCCCTCGATCTCGCTTCCACCCTTCCCGTGCCGCGCTTCTGGCGCACGGTGAAAATATTCTGCAGCACCGAGCAAGCGAGAAATCGTCGGAATTCTCGTCTCGCGACGGGGAATCGGTTCGCGTCGACCCAATTCCTAGGCGTATGGGCTTGCACGGGCTCTCGCGAAGCCCGGATACGAAGATATTATTATCTCGAAGCCGGCATTTATTTTCCGGCGAATCCGCGTTCCGTTCCGATCCAGATCGAAGCCGACGAAATTCTGCCGGAGGATGCGTCGCGATTCGACGATGCACGCGCGCGATCGTTACACAGCGAGGCCGGATTACAACACGATCCTACGCGTACGTGACTCCACGCACGGAAATATTTATCGCGAGTCATCCCTATCGTCTCGCGTCCCCGGCATTTGTCTTCTCGCAATATCTCGAAACGGGGCGCCGGATAGTCGATGTTCGGAGCTGCTCGGACAGTCGAATCTAGGTTATCCCGGGTCCGTCGAATGTGGGCCGTTCGACGACGCACGTGGCCCCAGCAAATTACTATTTACACGCTGCTTGCACTTCGAACCGAATTCTTCCACCCACGCGTCGCGGAAACGTCGAAGGTTCTATCGTCGCGTTATATCGGCCTTGTGTCCGGCGACTAGAAAATCTAAGCGCGAAGGTCGCGTTTCCTTCTAATCTTTGCACTGACGTGTCTCGAACGGTTTTATCGTCAGCCATGGAACGATCGACGTAACCGCCACCGAGAGACCGTGTTTTTCTGGAACGATCCCCGACATTGCGAAGTCGCGAACGATACGACGCTCGCGGATCTTGAACCGATCTCTCTCTCTCTCTCTCTCTCTCAGGGTCCGAGATCATTGATAACCGTGCGAGCTGACCAAGACGAAAGACGCGGTCGACGAATAACGCGGGGCAACGTGGTAGAAACGCGAACGGAGGACGAAAACGAAACCGAAACCGGACCGTACCGGACCGACGCGACCTACGGACGCGGATAAAAATACGCAGATACGCGAAAGTCGAATAAATGTCGTGGAAAATTTTCCAGTCCCGACCTCGACTACATATAATCGTAGTTGTTATCGCGAGCGGTCGGTCGAGAACTATCAAAAACTGCTACAAAGTCGGTACATACGTCCGTCGAAATTACAGTAATGGTCTCTCTAATTAACGCTCGGATCGTTAAAAAAAAAATGGACAATTTGGGAAGAGGAGACACGATTTTATTCGAGCCTCGCAGTTAATTTTTATAGTTATAAATTGTCCATAGGTATAAAAACGAGCCGCGAGGCTCGAACGATCGTATCTCCTCTTCCGACATTATCCAATTTAGTGGACAATCCGAGCGTCGGTAAGGGAGACGTTACCGTACGCTTCGGCTGCACAGCATCGCCTCCGTAACTTCCTCCAGAGCGACGCGACGTTACGGAGAGAATTATCCGCGGAACGCGCTGTTAGATACCAACCCGCCTATCTCTAACTCCAACACTCATCCTGATTAGTCACAACCAATTACTAATCAAACCAAACTGACCCTTAAACATCCCAGCCCTTGTCGCGTCACTTTTCCGCCATCCACCCCCTCCCCCCATGTCGCAGCCACATCCCAAGAATCCTCAGACCTTTTTCTTACTCCAACACTGGACGATCCCGAGTACGAGACGCATTTGTACCGTCGATAGTGAAATCGATTTCGAAGATTTTTTGCATAAAACGCGTTGAATTGATTCCACCGGCCCGGAATCCAACAGCGCTGGCAAGGTGCGACGCGGGTGTCTTCGGGGTTCGAGGGTACGGTCGATTCGTTTCAATTCAGTGGCGCGGATGAATTGAATAATGGGAGAGCGCATTGAGGTCCATTGGCAATAGAGCGACGCAGGAAATTGTTTACGCGACAGTTAACGTTGCGCGGCTCTCGTGGATTTCACGGGCCAAAAAGTTCCGAATAAGAAACCACCGGCTCTAGCGATTTCCGGGGCGAACACGCTCCACAATTTCGCCGTCGATGTCCCGTCGATTTTCAACCGAAGAACGTGTGTTCGCCTGTGAAATCTATAAATGCGCGAAGATCCGCGGTCGGTTTATAATTAGCGAGTATAAACGACATCTAACGGTGCAAATATGAAATGAACGAGCAACGATATAAGTATGTACGTGTACGATAAAAAGTGTCCCGTTTCATATTGCCTAAACGAATTAATTGTACCCCGGTGAAAGGTGCTACGAGTCGCACGATTCACCTCGTTGTGTAAGCAACAACGAACGAATACACACAAGTAATGGTGTATTCGACTCTTCCATGCTTTGGAACTCTGGGAAAAACGTTTCAACGAAACGATCGAAAAAGAACGACCTACATCGGGATCGCCGATGCGCCTGGAAAACAATGACAAATTGCTGGAAGGACGAACGATCGAGGGACGCGAGCAATCGATCCCGATACGATCCTCTCGGGGCGTAGATTTCCGACAGGAAACTCTGGTGCACGCGATGCACGCGATGCACGGTGCACGGTGCACGGTGCACGGGAAGTCGGCGATCATCGAACGACTTCCGGTTTCATCTCGGAAGGGTAGCGGCACGCTGATCGCGAGAACGGTTTCGAGGGACGCGGGGAGATCGAAAATGCATCGAGATCGAGAGCGAGGGTTGCGGGCTCGAGTCCCCGTGACCTCGAAACGGAGGCGGCCTCGCGGCCCGACTATTCCAGGGGATCGATAATCGCACCGCCATTCGCGGACACGTACAACACAGAATGCAGATGCGGATCGGCCGGTGCTGGGTACATACTGGCGTGGCTCCGGCTGCGGCTCGGGCTGCAGCGCTGTTCCCATCGGAGCCACCGGCTTCCGCGGAATTCGATAAAGACAGAGGGCTAGGATAGAGAATCCTTCCGAACTCTCGTCCCTAGGCCAGGCTCGATCGGCCTTGATCTAGATCGGCGTAGACGGCACGCAACGCGATGCAACCGTCTAGGGAATGTACGACAAACAAAACTTACCCACCTCTTGGCAGGATGCTCGAACGAGAAGCGAGTCCTTCAACATTCCCAGTAGTAGAGGGTTTCACTGAAATATCGCCGGTTCAGTATTTAGTGTTTCACTGGATGTAAACGCGCAGGTAACCCGGTGGGCTGGTTCGTTATCTCGTCGGTTTATCACCGCACGCACACACACACTCTCTCTCTCTCTCTCTCTCTCTCTCTCTCTCTGCACCAACACTGTTTCCACTTGCGGCAGGAACACCCGAAGAGACGATCGGCTTCCTCGAGGCGTGACTTTTTCGACTGCACGGATCACGATTCGACGAACCTTGCTCCGACACTACGACGCGTAGTACCAAATGCTACCAAATGCTCGACCGCACTTTGAAAACACTCTGCGGAACGGAAGCTGCCATACTACTGTGCGAAAACCGACACGTATCGCCATCTGGTCGTCCACGTCCCCACCAAGTAGGCACGGTCGCCATTATTCGCGGCACCCAGCGGCGTCCGAAATCGTCCTAACCCTTCCGAACGGCGGATCATTCGAATCGTTCGTTCCGATGTGAAACGGCGATTCGAGAAGGCTTTGGGCAGGCTATAATTTATGGCAGGGCGTACGCGACGAAGGACGATCGTCTACGAGGAGCTGTTTTATTCGTACTTGTCTGTAATGTAAAAAAATCAAGACTGGTTTTCGTCGGAATTGACCCTCCGTGGCCAACCTGGATTGGTTTGTATCCACGATCAATTTCTTTACCGTTCTCAGATTTCGAAACGTTCGAACCAAATTCTGGAATGCCAATCGAAGTTTCTATCGTTATATATTGTCGTTCGTTCAGTCGAATGTTTAGCGAAACAAATGAGAAAAAGCAAATAAATATCCCACACGATTCAACGGCGACATTTCACCTCGGATATAAACAACCCAGGTTGTCCACGAGGGGTTAAACGTTGAGAAAAAATCCTTTCCCGGCAATGAACCTAGATCTCCGTTGTTTGCAATTTACACGTTACGATCATTTTTATGTTAATTCTTATTTATACTGGTACGAATGATTCTTACCGATTTCGACGTTATATTATCTGCAAATTCTGGCAAGAACGATTTGCGTCGTTCGAGTACGCGTACAGCGCCATCGTACGTAGCGGCAAAATGCTGAAACTACTAGCCAAACGGTTTCTAGATTCCTCCGCTAGATGTTGCTAGTGTAAAATTCTGCGAAACGCCATCTATCGGAAGAGCATAGATTACAATCATCGATGTACTTTATCTTTTGAGTAACCTTTGGCTTGCAGTTTGGGCATTTTACCGCTACAAGTGGTGGTGCTGTACTCGCTTTAAGAGACCATATGATTCTTGCTGGAATTTGCATACGATCGAGAAAAAAATAATATTCCAATACATTCGCTATTGTTTTAAAGCACCGATTAAAGCTGGAGAATTGCACTTTACGATAGATGGATCGGGATTTTTAAATAACTACGATAGCACGGTAAAAATCTAAACTGGACAACCGATTGTCTCGTAGATTGTCTCATTGGGATTTTTCAAAGTCCGACGGCTCAAATTAAACCTGAAAGAACATACTTTATCTAAACTTAATGTCATTTAAAAACAAGTAAACTAAATTTTTTAAATCCTACATTTCTTTTCGCAAACTCCCCGACCGATCCGTCTTCGAGGGAAATTAAACGACGAATCGATGTAAACAAATTCGTTCGTGATCGTTGACTCGTTGGCGGGAAGAGATGTTCGTTTCTAAGTTTAGTCAACAATTATTTTTGGCTGTATCGATTGTAACGTTCGCATAAATAATAGATACCTGGATTGAATCTCGCGGGTTCTTCCATGAAATTCGTATTATCGACGCGATATAGTTCGCTCGCGAACGCGTCTGTGGTCGTTGTTCAGAATTCGAAACTTATTATCGATCTGCTCGTGTCCACCGAAATTATTTGAAACCGTGGCCGAAACGGGGATATACGAAGTTCTCGCCGAGAAACGTCCGTTACGGCTTCGAACGTGCGACGCGTTTAAAATCAAATTTACTCGATCAATAAAGGTGCGCTGCGAAACGGTGCTCTAGAAAAATCGAAACGGCCAACGGCCATCTTGAATCACGCGAGCTTTGTTTGCGCCAACTTCACGCGACAGTCGCATTTCTCTACTTTTTCGCGAGATTGTCGCTTCTCGTCTGCACTGTGTCTGTTCTGGATCCGTAACGAAAACAACGGTTCGCTTTTCCCGTGGAAAATTCGTCGCCGAGTGTGATTGGAGTGGACGTAGCAGGAGCCACTTCTCGGTAAGTCGAAAATGCAACGGGTTCTCGGGAAAATTGGCAGGAAACTGCGTCGTCGAGGGGAAACATCGTTCTCGAGCAGAGCGAAACGTATTCCGTGAAACGTTTTCAAGAATGACACGGTTCCCGTTCCGTCCATGTTATCGCGCGACTAGACGCTTTTGCGATTGCATTCGCAAACCTTAGAACCTATGACAACGCATTTTTCAACGCCCTCGATAACGTTCCACGCGGTGGCAACTCTGCGAGCTTTCCGTGAAACCACTCTTGTCATTTCCACCATTCGACAACCTCGTTTTCCACGCAATGTTTCTCAATCATAGACAAAACGCTGCAATTTCTAACCGAAATCACCTGAGCTCGACACGTTGCTGTTTAAGATCAATCTTTGAGGATTCCAGTTGCAAGAGGTGCTACTTCGCAATCATTTATTTACTAATGGTTATCTTAAATACTCCAAACACACTACTATTGGTGAGAATCACTGGTCTTTTTGAGTTGTTGTTCCAGATACAGTAATCTTCAATGAGTTATCTCGTTACAAGGATATCGCACGATCCATTATTTCTCTTTGCAACGACTATGAAACTACCGCAAATTCCAAATGATCTCTCTTCGAAGATTTCTCGAAGGATCCTCCAAAAACGGTCTTTGGATTAGGTTTATAATATCGATCCGGATCCTGATTAAGTATCACCTACGATATATTCCTCTATCGACAAGTTACAATTTGTATCGCATTGTTGCTTACAGGTGTCATCTTTTGCTACATGGTATCGATTCTTTGTTAAAGCAGCCTTCGTTAAAGGCCAAATTCTAATACAAGAAGTTCCCTTCTCGAGCCATTGCGAATACACGGAGCGAAAAGTCGCTCGTAACGATCTTCTTACTCCCATGACACGAAAAAATACTATGGCACAAGGACAATAATTAAGATACAATTACAGCGTGTTTTCTCGGGCGAGCGTGCCGGATCTCACGATCACGAGCTACTTTAAAGTCTGCAGGCAGGACGCGATCGATCAAAAATTATCGCGTCTACGCGACTGTTCCCTTTTAATTGCTTCCATTCTAATCGAGTTTCCTCGAGATCGCTGCTGCATTTATGGGACTCTAGCGAGTCAGGTGGTCGCTGGTTCGTCTACCAGAGCGGACTGCGGTGATTTCGTAACGGCCAGCGTTGTTTCATTATCAAACAATAATGACTCACTGCTACATGGTAGCCAATTATGCGTGCAACGGAAGGAAGGAGAAACAAAGAGCGGCACTTTCGCGTCTCGTAGCTGATAATCGTTGCTAGTCGGCGAACAATTAACACCGTTCACGGTGAACATCTAAGTCGCGTAACCGCCATGAACTCTGCTACGATATCAATCGGAGATTAGCCGAGCCGATTAAGACGAATTCGGAACGACAGGATCCTCGAGTGCGGCCAGAGATGACGACCTCCCCGACGAGAATTCTTTACATCGTTAACCGACGATGCACAACGTTGCACCGGCTCTATTTCTGGCACCATTGATTTCTCCGTGGTTACCGTGTAAATAGATTATCTAGCTGGCATCGCGTAATATTGTGTAACGTCGCGCCATCGAACAGAACCGAACGGAAGGGACCGTTTACCCTTTTTCACGTCGGAGCGGTTCATTGAGATCCACGCGAGTTCGCCGCGGCGGCGCGTATCTTTAGGAAGAGAATATGCAACGATTGTTGCGCTAGGTCGGGGCTAGAAAATGTCGGTTAAAAGGCCAATGAAAGGGTCTAGGACAGCTTCGACGGTCGTGGTTAATTTTAGTTGCTTATTGCCGCTGGCACCCCAACCACGAGCGCTCTTCTTCGCTCCTCTTCTTCTTCTACGGTCATGAATTTTCTGTTTGTTCGCATCTCCGTATGCCTTAGCCCAGACCCTAAGTTCTTCGCTCCTCCTCTTTCCCCTATTCTTCTTCTCCTTCCCCTACTTCTTCTTCTTCTTCTTCTTCTTCGGTTACGAATTTCCTGTTCGCTTCTGAGAGCTCTGTGTGCCCGAGAACTTAGGGGAACAACGAACCGAGCGAACAAAGAGCAACGGAACGAGAGACAGCGTGTATTTTAAACGGACAAGGATGCTGGGAACCGTCGTCCTTCTACTCGGCGGGGACAAACACGCGAAATCCTTTTTCCTCGATACATCGCTCACTGCCCGAATATGTAAAACTGACGTCACACCTTCTTCGGAGAGCGCAAAAGGACGCCCACATTCTCTATTTGTCTTTCTCTTTCTCCCGCACTCTTGTCCTGCCTGAACCGCTTGTTCACTCGATTGCTTTTTCCGTGGAAAACCGCAGACGATCTCGATCGTTTCCTCGATCAACGATCCTCTAGTTCTCAATCTCCGGGACACGGGCCCGTTTCAACGACGGACAAACGTCCGCTTAAATTCCGACGGTCCGATAAATGAAATCGTTTAGGATCGACGTTTCGAAGACGACGAGTCGATAGAGCATGGCCTGGCAAGAAAATTTGCACAACTTTTATGTAACGGTTTGCGAGACCTGGCATTGTCGCAACAACGATAACATGGATATGCGTATAGGCACCGGTGGTATCTCGATGAATATTAATCGACGGCGATTAGAATTGGACGCAACTCCGTTACCGTTCGAAGCAAAGATGTGCCTTCGACGATAGCTAGAGAATAATGAAATCGCGACGCACTACCTAATACGTTGGATTCACGAGGCTGCGTAGGTCGCCGGTTTCGCGAGCATGCTACATAGTTATCCGAGGACTATATCCTCCGCCCACGCTTGTTTCGTCTTTTCTTGAAAAACTTCGTGTTCGATCCTCGAAGTCTCGCTAAGCTGCGGACTTCATTTAATCCCGGAAGCTCCTGCAATCGAACAAACGGTCCCGCGCTCCTATCTCGAACTAAAATCAACCTTTTCATGGAGGATATTGCACAAGCGATGTCGTTTATCGAGGTTTGTTAAACGTTGCTCGGATAAAGCAGATAACGCTTGTCGACTGGTCGCGTTAGTCATATCGATCGGCTGGTAACGGCTTCGCAATCGCGTCGGGCCACGTGGTGGTACATGTATCCTCGATTGCCGCTCAGGGGCCGTATTTGGCGGTTCGGTTTGATCGATACCAACCGGACAGCCTCGCGGTTTCCCGTCGTTTCCGCGTTTCACGACTATTGCCGCGCGAAACCGGAAGCGTTGCGGTCCGCAAACCCGTTTCTTTGCTGTCTTCGACCTTTCAGTGGACTCCTTGGCAAATGGATCAGCCGGACAGAGGCGAAAATCTTCCCGCAAACCAAAAGGACGCGCACCGACCAAAGGAACTACGCGTTAGAGAGTTTCCTCGGACACTTCTGTTATTCGAAAGCCGTGTCGATATGGTCCTTTGTTCCGTTATGGATAGGTGCGCTTTACTTAGTAACGACACCAGTGGACACGGTGGGCTTCGGGAAACGTAGCTTATAATAAATCTGCGAGTATTCACGCGATAATCGCGGGTTCCGTGAGTCACGTCGCTTTTGGAGGCGATTTTGGCCTGCCTACACGGTTTGCTCGTCCCAGGTAGAAACGCGAAGGGGAACAGTCATCGCGACGTGGGTCGTTGTAGGCGTTTTTCCAACAGTTTCGCCTCGAGGACCGCGTCCCCTGTCGTGCCATTGTCCTTAGATCCTGAACCGACGAGTTTCGTCGCTCTCGCATTCACACCGGTCGCGCTTGCTCCAGCTCGCTGGCTCTTGCCCTTTGCCCCCGCCCGAAAGGTATACATTCTTAGACTCTGTTCGTCGAGGGTCAACGTTGATCTTATTGAACCTAACAGCTAATGGCTTCACCTGGCTGCTGGTAAATTGGCTGCAGCACCGAGTTTTGTTCGGTCAGTAACAGGCTCTGCCAGATCCAGCCTGGTCAGCTTCGAGCCGGTCGAGAAGAAAGTCAATATCTTTGGAATCCTGGCTTGCTGCTTGTGCGCTTTTTGTGCAGATCCTGGAGAGAGAAAAACGCTGTAGTTGCCAAATTATTCGAGGGTGCACTCTAGCACGGTCGAATGGGAAGACTAGAATGCAGCAAACTCGAACTGGATCGACGTGTGTGCTACGCGAAGCGAGTCTCTCCGTCTCTCTCTCTCTTTCTTGAAAGAAGGAGGAGCCAAAGCGGGATAACGTAATGACCTCCACCTCCGTGTTTCGAACTATTTTCGATACACGTCTCGGCTAACTTTAGCGTTTTCATTGGTCCAGTCGTGTTTGACTTTGAGCCGCGTTTTCCGTTCGAGTAGTCCGCCACGAGCCTCCGTCCTCGTGAAACCGTCTCTCTTCGGGAACAACCGGTTTTCCGCGTGTCTCCTCGCTTCTCCACTTTGCCGGTGTCATAACCGAATGCACTTGTGACTCGTACGAATTTTCAAACTTGCTCATCTCCGGGGGATTCGCGTACAGAAAGCGATCTGGTAATTATCCGCACTGCAGTTTCGCCAAGGCAGTCCCCGAAGTGTCTTCCGGGCCAAATCCGATGACTGCATTGCGGACGATTGCTCGATCGGTCCGGTGATCGCAGTCTAGTCATGTTCTCGAGGGAGATGTCCACGTCGCTGGAAAGTGTTGTCACGCTAGGACCATAACGGTGATCGGGGATGGTGTCGATCCGTGCCAGGTACGCGAACTATCGGTGTGCCTCTTCAGGATCTGCAAAGTCGATCGACAGGTTTTACAAAGCCGAATTCACGGATGGTGCAGTTCGAAGATTCACGAGTGGCCGAGCCATTTATACGCGGCGACTATTTTCAAAACAGCGCGTAAAATTAACCCGGCGCGGTGCGAATATATTTCCGCGGACTGGAATACTATGATACACACAGTACGGGGGGTACTATTTCGGAGAGCTGACATATCTAGTTCTTTCTAGGTGTCTCCGAGCTTGAATGGAGAATTCGGACTACGATAAATCCTTGTCACTTTTCCAACAAATTAACGCAATCAGAATTTTCCGTGATGACTCGTCCGGATCGTCGGCTACTTCCTCGATTCTTGCTCGTTTCTACTATCTAGAAATTGCCAGAAATCTACGCTAATAGAATTCTTCGAACACAGAGATCATCGTTATCTTGTACTATCTTAGAATTTCATTGCAGAACTTCTTGTCTATCTGTTCCTCTATTAATCAACCTTCGCAATGAAATTTTGTCCAAAGCGTCTTTCATAATCTTTAATAGAACCTAGATAATTTTGAATCTACAAAGGGTAGTGTGCTAAGTTCGCAAAGGAGCCGACAAAATCGCAGATTCGCAATCCGTTAATCGTGTTTCGCCTTTTAATGGCGCACTTGAACCCTTGCCATCAGCCTTGAACCCATTACCGTCGCTTTCGCTGCTTTTATTCTGAAACGTGTGCACTTCTCTTCGTGTGTTCCTCTCCGTGTCGGAAAGAATGTCCTGCTCGCGCGAGCGCGACGTTCATCGAGAGCTTCCGAGGAGAATCTCTTTGCTGTTGATGGCAACAGGTGGGCGGTCGAAGGTTCCTTTGACACGCCGGGAAGCTTTCGACGATGAAAGTGTTCTAGAAGTCGAACGCAAGCTCTAGAAAGTCGTCTAGGAAATGTTAGCTGCGTTAGACTCGCGGTGTTACACCATTCTCGGTGAATAATCGAACGAAATCTGCCTGCATCACGGTTCAACAACATTCTCAGCCAAGTCGTGTGACGTAGTCGGTGACTCACGTGCCCACATGGCAGATACAAAGGATTCACGCTAGAACTAACAAGCGCTTTGGTCTACAACGGATACAACGAGCACATTTCCGAGAGTAATCCATGGATATTTTCTGCTCGCGGTTATAGTCGGATGTCCAAATAGTGCAATTAGACATCCAACCCTAGGTTTTAACGACTTCTGTTAGGCATTGATGTCATTTCCTAATTGGCCTGCTAATTGCAATAACTGTTCTCGCATTGTTCGACAGGTGGTTGTCTAAGCTCTGACATCCCGGGCACGAGCATACTTGAACGATGGTGGACTACTACAAGATACTCGAGGTGCAACGGACCGCCTCCAGCGGTGATATCAGGAAAGCGTGAGTATCTTCTTGCGAATCTGAAACAAGAGCCGATTATTATTCGGTAACTGATGCGCTCCGCGTTTTCTGAAAAAAACTGACAAAACGATTCCGGGCACCGGAAATAGGCCCCGACTATTTATTTTCCAAGCTGCGGACGCAGAAATGCTGGTCCATGAGAGATTGAATGAATGGCTTTTTAGCCCCCGCTCCGAAACGCCTGGCACCGGTCCAGGAAACTCTCTTCAAACCACAGTTCAAAAGAGAACAAATGTATTCTTTTTAATCTTTTACTGATCTATGACGAGCCTTATCCTAACAGCTTTTGCTTGAATTTTTACACATGGACCTATAAAGCATATAATTTTTAATCTCTTTAAATCTTCTTGTATTTTTCATACAATAAGAATGTGTGTGACATACTGAACTGATTTCCCGGTTGATTTGTAGGTACAGGAAATTGGCCCTGAAATGGCACCCAGACAAGAATCCAGAGAACCTGGAAGAAGCGAACAAAAAATTCAAGGAAATCTCACAAGCGTACGAAGTGCTCATTGATGGTAAGTTTTATCCAGATAGCTTGCGCTACCCCGGAAGAGCGAGTTTCTCTCTATGGTTTGTCCAAGAATCACTTCCTCTCTGTGGCTTAACCGAACTACCTGGCCAGGCAGAGCGTTGCGATGCCAACAAGAGATGAACCAAGGGAGCTCCTGCTTGTCAGCAAAGCCGAATTTCGCATGAGCCTTTCCTTTCAAGCGGTCTCCAAGTAGTACGACTTATTCTGGGAGCCAGCGATGCGATTCGATCAAGCATACACGACCGCATCATTAGATCTAGAACGGATCAATTGATCTTTGTCAACTGTTTCATAGGCACCGTGGTGTTGCGAGCTATCACTGAGAGATTGTTACCAAAAAATAATGCACGTTCGTGTTGGTAGAGTGATTCGCAGCTCCACTGTGCTTCTACAGTTTCCTGTGTCATTCTTCGAAACAAGTTTCCGTATAGGTCTGACCCAGTGGCACAGGTACCTCTTGTAAAACAGGAAACTGGAAAGCCGACATAACGACTCTAATTAGCAACCGAAGCATCGCTGTAATAACGACGAGCCAACGTGTACCGACGATTATTCTTGGGGAGAAAAGAGATAGTCAATTAGAAATCTTTGTTTTTCCGGACGATCTGTTGTGACCCGTCTGTGCTCGGTGTCCAGATGCGAAGAGACGAACCTACGACCAACGATTGTATCAGAAGGCGTCGTCGAGGCCCGGTCGTGGATTCACCAGCCGGAGTTACTTTGACTCTGCTTTCCAGCGATTTTTCGGTACCACTTAAGAGAAAAAAGACTTTGATAGAGTCAGAGAGAGAGAGAGAGAGAGAGAGAGAGAGAGAGAGAGAGAGAGAGAGAGAGAGAGAG